AGGCCTGCAGCCCGTGGAGCGCGGTGAGCACGCCGCAGGCGCCGCCCGAGGGCCTCCTTCCGCCGGAGCTGGCCTGGGTGGCCCGGGACCCCCCCGCCCTGCGCATTTCCTGGGCGCCCCCGGAGCAGCCCCACGGCGTGGTCCAGTCCTACGGCCTGCAGAGGAACGGGGTGCGCTATCCCTTCAGCTTCGACGCTGGGACCTTCGACTACACCGACGACGACCTGCTCCCCTTTGCCACCTACAGCTACGCCGTCCTGGCCTGCACGCTGGGGGGCTGCACCCTCAGCGGGGCGGCCCGGGTCACCACTCCTGAGGCGGCTCCGTCGGGGCTCAGCCCCCCTACGCTCTGGGCCGTCAGCGCCAGCCAGATCAATGCGTCTTGGTCCCCGCCGTCCTCTCCAAATGGGGAGATCACTCAGTATCTGCTGAGATACGACGGCAAGGAGCAGCGTGCTGCGCAGGGCCTGGCCCTCCTGGTTTCCCACCTGCAGCCCTACACTCAGTACAACGTCTCCCTGGTCGCCTGCACCAGAGCGGGGTGCACAGCCAGTGGGCCCACTTCTGCCCGGACGATGGAGGCCCCACCAGAGAATATGGGGCCCCCCGTGTTGCAAGTGACAGGCTCGGAGTCCATAGAGGTCACCTGGGAGCCCCCGAGAAACCCAAACGGCCGGATCCGAAGCTATGAACTTAGAAGGGACGGAGCCATGGTGTACTCTGGCCTGGGAACGCGCTATCACGATTGCACTCTCACCCCGGGTGTGGAGTACGGCTACACCGTGACTGCCACCAACAGCCAAGGGGACGCTTTGAGTCCCCTTGTCAAAGACCGAACCAGCCCCTCGGCACCCTCGGGGATGCAGCCTGCGAAACTGCACGCCAAGGGCCCTCAGGAGATCGTAGTGAGCTGGGACCCTCCCATGAGGACCAATGGCGACATCGTCAACTATACCCTCGTCATCCGAGAGCTGTTCCGAGGAGAAACGAAAACCATGCACGTAAACACGACCCACAGTTCTTTTGATGCGCGGTTTCTTGTGGTGGAGCAGCTGAAGCCATTTCACAGGTAAGTGGGCAAGCGGGATGCTCTGAGAGGAAGCTACTGCCGGTTCCGCCGTGCCTTTGCCTGGGGAGCAGGATTCCTGCAGGTGATGTCTGCAGTTCAACATCCTGTCTAGAACTAGTGCAGAGATGAGGCCACTTCCCTAAATCCAGTCCATCCTGAAACCATCCAGACACCAGCATAGTTCTCAGAGTCCCAGGAAGACCACCTGCCCCAGGCAAGAATGCAGAGCATTAAAGTAGGCAGAAGCGCAGTCAGTGAGCACCATTACCAGCCAGACTTGGTCTGGACCAGAATTTGTGTTGGGAAGGGCTTTCCTGAGGAACGCAGCACTTCTTCCAGGGATAAGGAGGCTTTTCTGGACCATTTCCCCACTCCAGGACTGCCGCCGCCTGAGGTTGTGACCTCTCAGACAGCACCCTACAGCTCTCTCAGGTTCTCCCGCACTTTTCTCCGGGTCCTTGCCTTGCATGAAAGCACATTGCTCCCTCCACAAAGGAATCCTCCTGCAGCTTAATAATTGCTTGGCAGTCTTCCCTTTCACATTTTAAGTAACTTGAGCCCCCAGAGGGAAGAGTAATAAAAGGCATTTTATGCTTAAAATTTAGTAAAATTAACATAAACACTTTTTTTAAAAAAAAATAAAGGCTGAGAGTGTTGATTTCCAGCCACCACAGGTGAAATTGAGCTATCACTGTAATCTACTGATATGTAGATTAGATACCACTATAATTATCTATCTCTGATATATGGTGCTGGTTAAATGAAACATTCATGGTCTTATGCATCTATTCACGACAATTATTTAGGGTCATATTAAATATTAAAGAGTAATTAAAACTTCCTCAGGTATCCTCCACAACTAACCCACATTCTCTGAGTTGGCTTTTATTTTACTCTAATTCAGGACACTAAAAAGGCCCACACTGGCTGTAGAGCTATATATTTTCCACCAGCTTCCTCTTTCTCTGACTTTACACAAAAATTCCAAAAATGCTATCAGTTGCCCCCTGCTCCAAAACAGATCTTCAGAAAGATTGCTAGAGAAGAATATGGTTTTCCAGATGTGAGAGGGATACTTTTTCTAGGCTTAAAAAAAAAAAACTTTGGTTCATCTAGTGAGCCTCATGGGCACATTTAAGGGTGCAGGAAGGTCTCTCCTAATCTCCTTGTAATTAAAGCCATGACACTGATGACATAAGACAGAATAGTAGCACTGCTACCCTGTGACTTCAAAGCACATTCATATTTATAGATATGTGTCCACCTTTGGGCACCCTAGTTGGTCACGAGGAAAAAGTGGCCTGGGAATATTCCAGAAAGCAACCTACCCAGGGTTTACAAACTACCACAGATAATCCAGAAAGTGAGTAACCCTAAGGCAGAAAACCAGACTTGACCTCACACTCTGCCGCATGCCGGCTGTGGGTGTGTGCACGTCAGCCAGTCCCGGTGGAGAGAGGCAGGGGGAGGAGATAAAGGGGGATGGAAGACGTCACCAAGGGGAAGAGAAGAAGGTGGTCGGCAGAACAGGAAGCAGGGAAGCCACAGAGCCAAAGCAGCGGTTCATCAAAGAGGAGAGGTGGAGAATGACTGCGGACAAGGCTGGACCCAGAGAAAGGAAGGGCCGCAGGAAGGGAGCTCAGTGCTGAGGGAAACAAGGATCATGGTCAAATCAATGGGTTAAAACATACTGGTTTTCCACCATAGGTGCTTAGCACTAACCAAAGTCCCTGGGATGTAAATAAACCTTTTCAAGTGGCAGAGACCAGCGCTGAGGCAAAGCATAATTGATTAGTTGAGTTTAACGGGATGGTGATAAGGTGTCTCCATGATGGATAATCCAGCGTGCAACTGGGTTAACTAGGGCCCCAGAAGGTCCCTGTGTGGTACACGGAGCCTGTTTTAAAATGTCAGGTACCAGGTGGGGATTTATTACCGCTGAGACCTAAACTCCGTGCTGTCCCTTCACGACTTAAAAACGGGCCTGGGGCATCCTCTGGCCCTACCTGCAGAGTCAGGGGAAGCCCAGAGCTGCCTTCTTCGCTGCTCTGTTAAATACTTTTGCAGAGCACTAGAACTTTCACCCTGCCAGAAAGACTCTTGAAGGTTTATTCATTCTATAGAGGCTTCCTCAGGGAAAGAATTGTGCCTACTCTTTGCAAACAGATGAGAATCTTCCCTTTAGTTTGGAAAGCCAGGAAGACTTAAAATATTCAGAGCTTTCCATGGAAACAAGACTTCATTATTCATTAGAAGAGTTAATGAAGGACTGGAGGTGTAGCTCTGCGGTAGAGTTCTTGTTTAGCGTGCACGAGGCCCTGGGTTCCTTCCCCAGCTCCAAAAGAGCTGTATATAAGAATAAACATGAGCTGAGTGTGTGCTGGCTCGTGCTGTAACCTCAGCACTCTTAAAGGCTGACGCAGGAGGATTGCAAGCTGGAGTCCAGCCTGAGCAACGTAGAAATTTAAGAAGATTCTATCTCAAAACAAGGAGGGTGAGGGGGCTGGGGGGATAGCTCAGTGCAGTGGCCCTGGATTCGATCCCCAGTACCAGAAAATACTAATACATGTGGACTTGTCTTCTTTTCTGAGCACGCTTAGTCTTTGAAAGATGTCTCATGCAGGTCTGTTGCGCTGACCATCTGTAACCCTGCCTCCCGCCCTAAGGTATGAAGTCCGAACTCAAGCCTGCACCGCCCTGGGGTGCACGTCGAGCGACTGGACCTCCATCCAGACCCCAGAGATTGCTCCTCTGGTGCAGCCTCCTCCTCATCTGGAGGTGGGGACGGCTCCAGGGGGGTTCCTGCCCACTGTTTCCCTTCTGTGGACAGGGCCACTCCAGCCAAATGGGAACATTTTATACTATGAATTGTACAGAAGACTGACAGCAGCTCAGTCTGGAAAATCCAGCCCAGTGCTAACCTACAACGGGAGCTCGAACTCCTTCACAGATTCTGAACTGCTGCCTTTCACGGAGTACGAGTACCAGGTAGGACCTGTGTGTGTCCGGCAACGCATGCTGAGGTGCTGTGCACCCATGCATGTGTGCCTGGAAGCTTGCTGCTTCATGTAAGCACCAAGTGCCAGGTACAACACCGGGAGAAATTTTCTGAGAGACGAAACTGAGCCTTACAGCTCTTATCATATCAAGAAATAATAAAATTGCTAAGGAATGCAGTGACCAAATCAATGAGCAGAATGATTAGAAGTGAGTTTCAAGCATGAAAAAAAAAGTATGTTTCAGGTCAATACTGTATGGGATAAACTAACCAATGAAATTGGTGAGAATTGGAGACAGGGGTTCTTGAATGCTTGCAGAAATACACAGACATAAATCCATACTTTCTTATTTGCAAATCCAAACCTAAAAATCTCTGAAAAACAAACTTTTCTTGGGGTGAGGGGGGGTTAACTCATTTGGTGGCAAATATTATAAATAGACTTGACACTATTTATAATATTTATTTATTTCACTTAAATATGAATATTTATATGTTTTCCTGTACAAATACTGTGGTTCAGTACAAGATAGCTAGTCTGGTCATCTTGGAGATATGATAAACTGTACAGTAGATCAATTTTGTTACCTTTCTGAAGTTTCAAAAGCAAAATTGTTTTAAAGCCCAGAAGGCTCCAAGGGTTTAGGGTAAAGATTGTGGCTTCCGTGAGGAAGGAACAGAATACCTACTGATGCACCCATTGGAAACAGAATAGTGTTAGAAAGTGTCAGGACCTGTGTGGCCCTCCCTTTGTTCTCATCTCATTATCTTTACTGAAAAGTGTCAAGTTATCAAGGACCCCTCAGTTCTCAATTATCACATCTCCCTTATGAATAGAAATCTATCTTTTGAGAGAACTGCATGGAATTAGCCGTGGGCCTGAATTAGGCAAAACGAAATGACCCAAAGGTAATAAAGGCAACCTGGTGATTACAGCTTCCTTGGCATTCATTGTCCTGTGTCGCTGGGTTAAATATTGGTCACATTAGCTGAAGAAGTCTCATCTTAGTTTTCCAAGGAATGGCGAACTCCAAGCATGTGTCTTTCTCTAGTTAAATTTCTTGTTGGGAGCTGAGGATGATCAAGGAGCCTACATTTCAGAGCAAAGGCAAGTTGAGAATCTCCAGCTGAGCGGACTCTTTTGTGACTGTTATTATTAGCTCTGTATCACAATCTTCCTCCATATTCATCACATCCACATGAAAGCACTGTATTTAATTTGGTTTTCATAACACACTGATCTCAAATTTGCACTTATTAGCTAATCCTATGTTGTTACAATGTAAGAATACAGAGCAGGAAAAAATTCAAGCCTACCAGGCCCTGTACCTATAAAAAATGATATTTTGAAAAACAGAGATTTCAGTGCTGAAGTGAATGAACTAAATTATTGCATTTACTTAGCCCATATGAACGCTGAGCCTTTACGGAATATAAGTAATTCTAGAGAAGTCACTGAGGAAATTATGTACTAAAAGAATTTCTTTCCCTTAACAAAGGAATGTTTTGTCTTTCACATGAGTTTGCCCTGGTGTCAGACCCACTGGAAGGTCACTTCATCTGCCAGTCACCTCTGAGGAAACATCTTTGTCCGAGACATACTCTGTTTACCTGACACTGGGCAGTGATTTGAATCTTCTGCAGCGGGTTGTATTTTTTAAGTAACTCATTGATTTGTCAGGAACAAAAGTAAAGAAGGAGACAATCCCAGAGTGTGGGACTATTGATCAGGAGGTGGCCATGCTCTGTGGTTGAGTGGTGGGCGCCACACGTTTTGCCCTGGGAGTGTCAGATGTGGCTCACTGCCACCCTCCTTCCCTACCGTACAACACTGCATTCACTCTGCTTTTGAGTTCAGGCATGGAAGGCACCTGCTAAGGTTTAGTTATATGGAAAGAACAGATAGAATTCTTGGGGCTGGGGATTTAGCTCAGCGGCAAAAGCGCCTGACTGGCAAGCGCAAGGTCGTGAGTTCGGTTCCCGGTACCGGAGAAAAACCAAAAACAAACAAACAAACAGAACAGATAGAATTCTCCGGTCTAAGTTAATTCACCCGCCTAGCTGGTCAGTGACACAGAGGGTTGTGTTGTGGACAAGTCCTGCTCACTGGAGGGTCAGGAACTGTCTGGATGAGTGTCTGACAGACAGCAAGGAGCCACTCAGGGTGGAGACCATAGAGGAGAAGGACTAACAAGTGTCACTCACCACATGACAGTTCATGTGGACAGCTTGGTAGCCAGTTCACCTGGAAGAGCCATGCTATCCCACAGGCAACTCTTCCCCGTAGTACTTCAATACGGAGCCATGTGAAGGCAGTGGTCTCAGTGTTTCTTGTACAAAAGGATCACCAAGAGCTTGTCCCGGGGCTGATTCCCAAGTGCAAGGCAAGGGACTCCAGGAGTGTATATTCTTAGCAAGTGGCTTGTGTCATTCACAACTCTCATTTTTTTGAGAAATCCTAGGAGTTGCTGGGGACTGTCAGGACTCTCGTCACTGTAGCATCCTGTCAACGACTTCTTTAGCTCATGGGAACTTCCACATTTTGACTTGTAGCTCAGTAAGCACCCACACAGTTTCAGGGGCGCTGAAGGGTCCTGGTGCCTAGTGGCCGGGTGACTGAGAGGAAGCCCTCTGTCTCCCTAGTGTAAGAGCCTGGGCTTGGGGCTAGCACTGTGGGTGCCCATGGCCATCTACTGCTCTCTAACAGACCAGCACTGTCCCCTAACTGGAGACTGCAAGGAAGGGATGAGTGGGAGCCCTAGAAGGGATTTTCACTGTTCTTGCCAGAGGCAGCTGGCTGAGGACCATCGGCATCCCGTGGAGAATTGCCCCAAGCTGACCTGACCAGGGGCCGCCAGATGGTAAGGGATGAGCTGCAGCGGGCAGGAGAAGGGGTAGCAGCTTCGATGCTTCTGCAGAGAACCTGCTGGGCCTTTCCACCTCTTAATACAGACTGCTGTACCTGAGCTCCGGAGACTGGGTGGCTGGAAGCAAACACTTAGTTCTCACAGACCTGGAAGCGGAAAAGTGCAAGGTCAAGGTGCCTGTGGGTCCTGTGTCGCTGAGGGCCTGCTTTCGGCTTTGCAGACAGATGTCTCCCTGTGCTCTCACTTAGCACACAGGGAAGAGAACGGGAGGGCTGCCTCTGGCCTCTTTCTCTTCTTTACAAGGACACTAGTCGCATTGGTGAAGGCCCCGACCTAGATGAGCTAATACCTCACAAGAGTAAACCTCCAAATCCCACCTTACCTGGAACCAACCTTTAACATAGGAATTCTGTGGCCAGAGCTTCAGCACATTCCCATCTGGACACACAAGTCCCCTCTGGTGGCCGCGACAGAATGAACCACCACTGTGTGCTTTTTAGAAATTCAGATCAGACTTCATCTTCCCTTGATTGGCCCTGGTGATCTGTAGTTTGTAAAGCTGACAAAATAAATCCAGATTCTTAGCAACTTCATTTCCACATAGTATTTAGATTTAAGTAGCCTTGATGCCAGTGGGTCTAAGAGGCCAGCTTCAGACCAGAAATGGCTTCAGGGTCATCTGTTCCCACAGTGGATGGGGAAAAGAGTGACAGTGCTGTCCCTTACCAAAACCTAATTACTGTACCTACCAATACAGTGAGGTTTTAAACTATGCACATATTATAAAATAGAAATGTAAATAAATGACAAGCCTAGTTTATTTAGCTTACTACGTATGAGTCCCATGTATGACTGAGAAAACCCAGACCATCAATAAGGCATGGTGAGTAATTTACTCCAAGTAATAGAAAACCAACTTGAATTAAATTTTTAAAAAGAAGGGAATCATGTGTGCTCTCCTGTTTGGGAAGGGGACTGAAGGAATTCCTTGAAACTAAGCAGAAGATATGAATACTGGGCCCTCAAGACCTGGCTGCAGGCTGTGATGTTGTTGGATTCACCCCTCCTCTCCTTCCCTCCTTCGTCTTAGCTTGTCTCTGGCTCCATCCTGCACAGCCTCTCTCTAGGCATCAGAGAAGATCCCTCTTGGCTCCAGGATTCCAACTTCCTCTGTGCATCAATTTCCATGTCCTTAAAATAGGAGTAATAGTATGAGCACATAGCTTGCTTTGAGGTTGAATGAGTTATTGTGTGGATGTGTTCAGGACAGAGGCTCACACTAAAAACTACTCAACCATATCCCAGCAAGAGTCACTATCATAGTCCCTTCCCTCAGAGCAGAGAGAGAACTTCTCCCTCCAAGTACTCAAAATTCCACCACAAGCAGGATTCTGACTTACCCTGTTGCACCTTGTGCCTGCTGTGAAGCTAGAGAGTGAAGCACTGTGGTTAGGTAGGGCTGGTCCCAGGGTCCACTTCCGGCTGCACAGGATGTGCAAGGAATGCCTCAGCCAGCAGTAAATCTGTCCCAGCACCTCTCACACTGCTGATGTTAACAAATACCCTATGCCTGCAAGGTATGTATGACCTCTTGGTCTTGTGACCTTGGATGCTCACAACTTTTCTAGTCTCCAAATGAAAAAACCATTGAACTAAAGTCACACAACTTGGGCAAAATACTTAAGTTTTCACTTTTCTAATTAAACAAATTAGTGTATTTATAAGAATGAGAAACCTGTCAGGCTGTAGCTGGTTGCCAGATCCTAGCTACCTCATTGAAAGAAGGAGGTACCGCCCTTAGTTTCAAGTGGGTGGAGAGCCAGGTTAAGAGAAATTCTTTCTCTACATCAGTGAATCATTCATCAAATATTGGAATGGAGCCCAGGCAGAGCTGGCTCTGAGGGTGTGACGCCCCTGCACTGGGCACCCCACCCTTACCTGCCCCTGTGTCTCTTTTCTCAGCAAAAGAATCCCTTGCCCAAGACCCAGGACCAGGGTCCCTCCTGGCAGTGACTGGGAACCCACCTCCTGTGATCTGCCAGTGTCCTGAGGCCATCAGCCTTGCCCAGCCCTTCCCCACCACACTGCCGTCACAGTTAGAGACTGCGCTGTGAGCGTGTGCT